TGAGAGAAATGGTTATTTTGTGTATATAGAAAATGTTTTAGATCTTTGAGTTCATCTCATGAAAAATGGGAGCAAAAACAAAAGTGTTGCATTTATATTTTTGTTCAGTGTATATTTCGAACCTCGTCTCTGTCCCTCAGTTAACAAACTTGTCTGCCTTGTTTACTGGTGAAATGAAGGGTTTTGGTAAAGCATTGCCTTGTGTCTATTTCCTGGTGTGCAAGTCCCCAGCGGTGGCGTTGTAGGTCCTTTTATCTCCTTTTTTTAAACATATAATTTGATATAAATATTCAAAAACACCACCCACCATATATATAAATTGTATTATTACTGTTCAAACCGCATTCATGTTTAAAACTATGTAATGTTCCCATTTCATCATATTTTACATGATGTTATTGATCATATAGATGTTGTAACCTGTGAAGTAACTTTTGTAGTAGTTGCAACATTAATGTAGAGCAAAAAGCTAATGCAATGTTATTAGTTGGTCACAAGGTGGCGCCAACAGAATGAACAGCACATGTGGAAGTTCTTTTCACATGGTGACTTCAATAAGTTTAGCCTAAATTCTATATTACTTGAATTGTTTTGCTTTAAGATTTATACTGCTTATCAAACTGTAAAGGCAGAGGCGTGTGGTGCAGTGGATTGAGCATTGATGATCAGATCAGGGGATCACAGGTTCAAACCCCACTGCAGTCAGCTTGTCGTTGTGTCCCTGGGCAAGACACTTCACCCCAAATTGCTCCTGTGGGGATTGCCCACAGTATTGAGTATGCAAGTCGCTTTGGATAAAAGCGTCTAACAAGTAACATGTAATGTAATGTAAAGTTGTAAAACAAAGCATCAGAATATTAATTATATAATATATAATAATTGATTTTACTCAGCCAGGTCTTAATGAAACACTTGTAATCAATAGTATTGTATTGTAGTCTCACCAGTAGGCCTTTACAACATGCGTTAAGGGCTTGGTCATGAACTGCAGCTGAATGGTGTGTTGTCTCTCAGATTGAATGTCTATCGTGAGCAGCTGGATTTATTTCCTCTTCTGAGATCAAATGTTTGAACATGTTTTCGAAGTATCACATATTCCTAAAACCAATGATTGGGTAGTGTTGAGTCCTCTTTTATATTTACATTTTTGTTTACCAAATGTCAACACCCTCAAACAAATGTACAGCTGAAAATCATCAGTTGAACATTAGCCAGTGTCTCAGGCCCCAGGGAACTGGAGTACAGAACATCTGTCAGTGCCTACAATGCTATTCATGGTTCACACACACATGGTTCCATGCAGGAAACATTACTTTATATTTCACGGATAGACTGAATGTGTCATAGTAGCTTATGTGTACCGGCCAATTTTGAGACAAAAAACATGATAATCACACAGAGTTGGAAAGAGAGTTACTACTTAAAAAATGTCAGGCAAAACACAGATACAAAGCACTGAGGCAAACAAATCCAAAGAGATATTGTCAGGATAGCCATGGTCCAAACAACAGGCAGGCAGGTTCAGAACAGCTAAAAACAGAACAGTAAATGCTGGAGCACTTCGCAAAAAATAAGAAAAACTAGCATGGACCCAGCGATACAGGACTACTGTATGCACTGAGCGACTCACAAGCTAAAGGTGAGGTGAATGGAAGGGGGACACGAGGTGAGGTAAAATTGTAAGGAACTAACAACAGGAGAGTTTGTGATAAAGCAAAACCAAAGGAAAACAATTGTGGATTTTGTGACTCGTCATCCATGTGATTGAGTGAACTTTCCTGAGGGACGCCTGACTCTCGCTTAAACTCAGCTGGATCAGCTTTACATCTGACACCTTTTACAGGATAGCCTACGTGTTGTAATGGATTGACCGATGGATGGTTGGATGGATTTAATCTATGAAATGTTAAGTATTGCGTCATTTAAGTCACATGGACCTTCATCTTATTTATTGCACCACCAATGTTATTTTTACAAATAAGAAGTACTGATGGAAATGGAGAACGAAAGTCTCGTGATTTCTGCATTATTTTAATAAATGATATAAGAGATGATGACATTGACCGTTAGCTGTCCTTGAAGTTGCTGATGGATGCAGTTCCCTGTTTCACTTCTGCTAACACAAACACACGAGTGCATACATACATACATACACAGAGATGCACCCTCTATTACTTTTATACTACTTAAGGGACTTATAATTCAATGATGCATTCTCTAGCCCCCATCTGTATATGTGAACATCACAGCTACGTGGCTAACCTGGAATTTACCATTTTGCCCTGAAATATATAACATACTATCCTACCTATATCTTGATAGAAAAATTTGGTTATATCGCCTCACAATATCTAACCACCAGAAGCAACAAGTTCACAGTGAAGCAATTGGTGCATTACAATATGATCAAGTTTAGTTGTACTAAACTAAAATATTAACTGACATTATGAGGTGTACAGCTTTAGTGTCTGTGCATTCTTGTGTTAAGATCTTGCTGACAAACAAGAGATAAAGCCTTATAGGTGTTGGCAGGTGGATAAGTAATCTTTGGACGTTGGACGGTATCCATCTTGTCACATAACTCTGCATCACAACACATGTTTTCCCAAAAATGTCTCACTGTTCCTTATAAGCCTATATTGTTCTTTAATATTGAATATTGTCAAGCATTTGGACTAATAATAATTTTCCTGATAGGAATGTTGAGTTATCAGAGGCACGGCAGCTCATAAAACATCAGTCAAACTGCCCTTGTAGCAGAGTGTTTTTAAAATAGCAAGTTTAAACAAGTAAGCAAAGAGAATTAAACAGGTAGCTAAAAGTAATGAATAGTTGTTTCCACAAATAGCTCAAATAAATGACTAAACAATTCAAATGATTGGCGAAAATGAATGAAAAAATGGTTACGCATAAATTGGGTTAGGGGAAGTTGTAATTGTAGTAGTAGTATTAGGAGTAGTAAGAGCAGCATTACAATTGCTCGCCAAATCAAACTAAATATTGCCATTTTAATTGCATGGAAAATAGATTTGATCCACCTTCCACATACTGTTCAGAAGAGGTGGAGAAAAACATTGGGAATAGATGACATGTATTGTGAGTTGATCTGACTGTTCCTCTCAGTAAAGAGGTCGGGAGCCACAGCCTGTGAGTCTGCATTGTGATGAGATATAACGTCATGTCGCTCAAGACCTTTGCTGATTATTCAGGCTCTATCTACACAATAACACACATATATATGTAGGGGGGGTGATGTTTGTTAACACTGGGCTAGTGGTTTTAAGGAAGTGCCTACAGGCGTGTATGCGTGTCACACTCTTTGCAAATATCCGTGTCTTGTGATCAGGAGAGGATACTGGTAAAAGCGGATACATTCAGTGGTCTCATGAGTGGTGTTATACATAGTTTAAGACTTCCAGCTGTGTTTTACATCTCTGCCCTTAGCTATCAGCATCCACTGCCTCAACCTAATATAAGAACAGCATCATCAAAGGCAATTTGCCTTAAACATTGTGCAAAGTATCGGGCCATGATGACGATCATGTAACAGTATGTGCACTGGTTGCTCATGTGCCTCAGCAACAGTGACATTGTATAATCCCACTAAATGCAAAATATCTCTCAGAATGTATTAATGACCCATTTCTGTAGTATCGTCACTTTGCGTAAATTATATCAAAGGAGAGAAAATGAAGGTAATCATAAAATTCCCCTGACAGAATAATTATCAATAACAGGCTTAGTGGAGGTGACCTTGGTGGTTGTTCATGATGTCTCAGGTACTGACAGACCTGAGTTACTCATTAGATCGCACTGTGGCTGATAACATAATTGAAATGCTAATGCTGATTGATCTTGTGTCTATAATGAAGTGCTGTGTTGATGCTGGTACTCTGAAATGACTGGCATGTTGTTTATCTGTTTATTAACAAAAGTGTAACATTTGACTAAAGACACTTTAATGTATAGAGAATGATTGAATTTAGATACTGATTAGATCCCAGGATATATTTCCTGGCTTCATAAAATGATTCAGGTTGTCCTTCATTTATTTACATACATTTAAAGTATTGCAGTATTTCAGAATAGTTGTGCTCTGTCTTAAAAGACAATTGGAACTGTAATCTCTTACCAAATTGTAACCTTTTAATACTCCAAATTATATTAAAATCGTAATAAAATAACTTAGTATTGTTCCCAATTGATCCAAAGTAGACTGGGTTGCTGAAAGTGACATATTTACAAAATGATCGTTGAAACTCAGCAACCCCGTTTTAGACCCCATGCATCATTAGTACTGCATTTCCCATACTGCAATTTCCCCCCTGTCTTTTGTGACTGCCAATAACAATATATTTTAAACTCAATGTTCAATTTTCTTTTCTGGAATTTTCAACCTAATGGTTAACTATAGTGTGGGACTGCAGCACCCTTCCTCACAGCCTGTTAAGCAGTGATCAGGCCAAGGATGCTTTGCACACATTTACCAAGTAATGACACAGAGAGCAAGTTTCCAAGCGGCACTCCCAACATTTTTTCCTGTCACATGACCTTTCTGCTAAACCAGTGTAGCGTTAATAGCATCCACATCTGGAGTGTATCTCACAGCTTCAGTGGCTGCTTCATAGCTGTTTTCCTTTGCAGGGAATGTTTATTTTCTGCAGCTACTAGCACTGCAACAAGAGGGATTTTCCCTCCCGTTGCAGCAGAGAGATTGATTGAGAAATATACAAATATGGGGGAGGGAGGAGAGGGAGGGAACTGGAATGAAAGAGGAAGGAAGAGCTGGCCTATATAAAGAAAGAGAGTGTAGCAAGAGAAGAGAGGTGTGGTTTGTAGGATCATTTGGGGAGCACTACAGAGACTGAACTGTGAGTACTACAGACTTTTAAACTGGATAATAATGCAGCCTTACAACTGCACATTTGTTGTGTTTACTTTGATAAAAGTCCACCATTGCACATTCTAATTTCATCTTTTTGTTGTTGAAATTGGAGTTTATGACCTACCATTATTTCAACAATAGTCATTTGCTTGTGTTATCCAAAGACACATTTAATGCGGAAGTCCACCTGACCTAACTGCCTGGACCAAGCAGCACATTCCGTGCCCAGATCTTTCAAGCTCATGTCTTCCTTGTGCAACCTTAAAATACTTTAGTCATGCATGTCTGGTTCTTTTGATATACAATTCCAAGGCTTGTGTCGACACGTAGTCATCTCTAAATTAATCAGAATAACATTTCTTTGTATTCTCTTTGTTTGGCAGGTGCAGTAACAGAAACCACTTGTGTGTTTGTGCGTGTGTGTCCATGTGGCTGAAAGTATAGTATTTGGGAAGTGTCTGTCTGTGTGTGTGCGTGTGTGTGTGCGTGTGTGTGTGTGTGTGTGTGTGCGTGTGTGTGTGTGTGTGTGTGTGTTTGAGGAACCATGTCAGGTCTCGGGAAAGGTTTGACAGTGAAGCGCTGCCTCACCTTTGCTACGGGTCTGGTGGAGTGTCTGTGTTTTGCTGGAGCTGTGTTTGGATGGGCTTCTCTTGTCTTTGTTTTGAAGACCGAGGGCTACTTCAGCTCTCTGTGTGTCAACACCACAGGAGTCAATGCAACGCAGGTCTTAGGTCAGTTCCTCACCTTCACTCATTTGAATTCAAAGCACCTGGAACCATTTACATCTCTCTTCTTAATAACCACCTGTTAACCGCATATTGTATATTGTATGTTTTGTGTACAGATTGCAGCGGGCAGGATGAACAGTTCTCTCTTGTTTTCACCATCGCCTCCTTTATGAACAATTTCCTGACGCTGCCTAATGGTTTCCTCTTTGACCGGTTTGGTACTACAGTGGCTCGACTCCTTGGAACGTGAGTTGAACAATATATTATTATCTTGAGAGTATAAAAGACAGAAATAATACAAATTGATCAGTAATCAACAAACAGAGCTGTTCATTAGTCTGATTATTGAGGAACAAGTGCAAGTTGCAGTAATGAGTCTCTCCTAGTTGGTTGTCGGTGTATTGATTGTAGGTGTGATGGTTTCATCTAACAACAGTTTGTTTAGATTTCCTTTTGGAAAATATTCAATATATTATATTTAAAACATAACTAGCTCATAGATAGTGTGTGTTTTAAAGCCGTTCAGGCGGAAGCAAGACATGTATGTTCCAATCAAAAACATCACTTAAAGAGGCCCTCGTAGGCTTTTTTGGGGTTTTCTCTCTCTTGTAGTGTGAAATTAGATCACTATGTAAGAAGGGCTTTTATTGGCTAACGCTCCAACACATTGCACTTGATAGGCTTAGTAGCGGGACATCTCTAAACAGTTGATCACAACAAAGCCGGCCAGCTAACCAATCAGATCAGACTGGGCTCTGGTTTCAGACAGAGGGAGAAAAGAGATGCTGCAGCGTGAGAAAAATAAAGAGCTTTTCGAACATTAAAGCATGTAAATATGCAACAGGTTGCCACAAAGCTAAACATTAAAAGCAATAAAGTGTGTACTAGGCTATTGCAATGAAAGTTTTCATTCCAAAAACAATTAAAAACATTAAATTATTTTTCTTTTTTTTCGACCAAGTTGTTTTGCCCTTTGTTGGTGCAACAATAAATGAAAAACAAAACACATTTTCATTAAAGCCAGATGGGACCCTCTCCTCTGATCCCTCCCGCCTCTGCCTGTAGTGGCTAATACTGCAATGCAATGGTGGCGATCTGCTGTAAAGTCTGACTCTGGTATTTTGACCTCTGATGGATTCTCAGATTTATTTGCTGCTAAATTAAGTCTCTGCTCATGTAAGGTAAAACCCGTACACGTAGAGAAGCAAGAAGAGCAAGAAGACCAGGAAAGCAAGCATAACTATCTCCCTCAAGGTATGTTATGTAAATTAGCTGCAGTCTCCAGGCAGCAACAGACACAAGAATGAAGATGCAGTCTACATACCAGAGCCGGATACTTGGCAATGAAGTATAGAATGAAAACGTTTTATGAGAAAAGGGAGGAGTTAAGCAGCAAAGGGCAACAGAACTGGAATACGTTTAGAGAATAATAACAATAAAGGAAAAGGTCAAGACCATTAATGACAAGAGGTTAGTGGAATTTCAGAAAGAAAGATTTCTTTTGGAGCAGATATTTAAATCTTGTGACATGAAGTTCTCCTTACTGTAGCAGAGTTCATACACATCCTATATCATAACACCACACACACACACACACACACACACACACACACACACACACACACACACACACACACACAC